GGAAAACAAGCACTACAAGTGGTAGCAAAGCTACATCGTCAACTCGGTCACCCAGGTGCTGAACGGTTTCTGCGTGCTCTCAAAGATGCCAAGATGGACGAATCCATCATTCAATGTGCCCGATCTTACAAGTGCGACATATGCCAAGAGGCCAAGCCAAAGAAACTGGACCATCCGGCTTCATTACCACAAGCAAATCACTTCAATGAGCTTTTGGAAGCCGATGTTTTTCATGTGAAGTGGTCAGAGAACGGTGGAAAGCAAAAGGTCCTTGCCATTCTCGATGTCTTCTCGCGCTACGAAATCAATGCTGTCGTTGAGCGAGAGACTGAAGAAGAAGAGCTGCAAGTCCTTGAGAATCAGTGGATTCAAATCTTCGGACCACCAAAGCGCTTTCGCACCGATTCCTCTGGAGCTCACATGTCGCAAAAGTACTTGGACTATTTTGACAAGTATGGCATCAAGCTGATTCTGGTTCCAAAAGATGCTCATTCAAGAATGGGAGCCGTAGAAAGGCTACACGCTGTGAGACGCCTCCAAATCCTCAAGATGCAAAAGGAAATTCCTGAAATCTCACTGGCTGATGCAGTGCGTGTGTGCTGCCAACAAAGGAACCGACTTCGCAGTGTGCAAGGATCTTCACCATGTCAAATTGTTTTTGGACACAATCCATTCGGGGAAGGACTCCTAGATGAACCAACTGATGAAAGACCCCGAGATGCCTCAACATTGCAGCAGGACCAACACTTGCGATACATTGCTGGCAAAGCTTTCTATGAAGCCAATCATTCTGAACTTCTGCGACGCTCTCTTTTGGCCAGAACCCGCACTGATCCAGAACGCCTCCAACTCGGTGAATACGCCTACTATTGGCGCCAGGGTGAACAAAAGCTGGAAGCCAGATGGCGTGGTCCTGCACTCATCGTGGCAGTTGAGCCGCGTACTGATGGAACTCAATTGCCATCAGTGTACTGGTTGGCCCATGGTTCAAGTTTGATCCGTGCTGCTGCAGGCAATGTTCGTCCAGAAGTTGAACGTGAAAAGGTGGTTCGCTTGCAAACTATGCCTGACACTGCTTTGAGTGCTTCCGTTCGTGCCCGAGTGCAAGCTGCTTTGAATCCTGTTCAGGGTCCTGTGCGATTTTTAGACATCACTGGGGGTACCTCCTTCGCTGACGCAAAGGGCATCCACACTGTCACTTCTGACCCCGTGATAGCAGAGGACTTGAGCCAAGATCAAACAGCTAGCAGCGCACACCAAACAATTGATGATGCAGCAGATGATGGTGAGTATGAACCAACTGAGCCGTCACAAGAAATGAGGATCGATGACGATGAGACAGCAAAGGCAGTAACAGCAGCAGCCACAGAAACAGCCGCAGCCACAAACGACAGCCCAAGCGGAAACACAGCGACAACGGCAGCGGCAGAAGCTTCAGCACAAACAACCGCGGCAGCTGCAGAAAACAAACCACATGAAAAGCAAGAAGAACGAAAGAGATCAAGAAGTCCACCAATGAGAGACTCAAGAGCCAAAGCCTTCGAATCATACAATCGAGCACGAGCTCTTGATGGCCTTCCTCCAGCAGCATGGAGCGACAAAACTTTCCATTCTCAAATGGATGCTGCTGATGCACAGGAGGCAGAAGACGAAGCCCTGGCCATCGCAGAGGGATTCAATGAAAAACTGCTGTCACCAGAAGAAAAGCGGCAGTTCGATGACGCCAAAGACCAAGCACTTCAAGTATGGTTTGACAATCAGGCCTGGCGTCCAGTCCCTCGTGAGGAAGCAAAAGAAGGCGAGTGTGTCCCAGCACGATTTTTGCAACGATGGAAGCCAGTCAAGGATGGAAAGAAGGCCAATGCCAGGGTCATCATCCAAGGCTTCAAACACAAGGACGTGCTGGAGCAAAAGCTGGACACTGAGTCTCCCACTTTGTCGATGACTGGAAGGCACTGCATTTATCTCTTCACGGTGCACAAAAGATGGAAGTTGTTTTCTGCGGACGTCAAAAGCGCTTTCATGCAAGCTGATTCCATCGATCAATGCACCAGGATCTATGTGAGCCCCAGTGCCGACATGCGTCGACGCCTTGAACGAATGTGTGATCTCAAACCCTGGGAAATTCTCAAAGCCACCAAGCCTGCTTTCGGAGATGTGAGGGCTCCAAAACAATGGCATGACACCGCTGATAAAGTGCTCATCCATGACCTTGGCTTCATCCACCATCCGTTGGACAAGTGCCTCTATCTCTCCTTGCGCGAGGCCTGTGAGTCTGACGACCCCTTCTGCATCTTTGATCACCAAGGAAGGCGAATGATTGTAGATGGTGTCCTTGGCCTACACGTGGATGACTTCATCGGAAGCGGTGAAATGGTGCATGGAAAGAAGAAGCTTGGTCAGGAAGTCCCCGAAGGTGAGTTCTTTCTGAGCCGACTGTCAAGACTGTCAAGTCGGTTCAAGTTCGGATCGTGGGATTTTGGAGAAACTGGAACGATGTTGTTCTGTGGGGCAGAAGTCACCCAGAGTTTGGACTGCAGCCAGATAAACATCTCCTTGTCTTCCTACGTCCAGAAGGTCAAGCCCATCACGCTAGACAAAAGCCGAAAGACGATGGTCAACGATCCATGTGATGAAAGAGAACAAAGACAACTACGAGCTCTCGTGGGCGCCTTGGCATGGCCAGCGCATCAATGCCTACCACAGCTATGTGCCTCAGTCAGCCTTCTCCAGGCTGCCACCAGCAGTCCCTTCATCAAAGACATCAATGAGGCGAATAAGTTGCTGAGGTATGCAAAAGAAACCTCAAGAGAGTTCAAGTACAGGATCCGTGATCATGGTCCCTTCGACTCCTTGCGCATTGGAGCCTATTCCGATGCATCCTGGGCTGCAAGACCAGACGGGTCGAGTCAAGGAGGAATGCTGATCTTCCTATGCTCCCAGTCCGAGCTGGATGATGGAAAACCAATGCCTTTGACAATGGTGAATTGGCATTCCAAGAAACTTCCTCGAATTTGTCGATCAAGCTTGTCTGCAGAGTCCCAAGCGTTGGCAGCTACCATCGACGAAATGGAATGGTGCAAGATCTTCTTCACCTGCTTCACTGACGTCAACATAGCTATAGATGGTGAAGACGCCCTACAGAAGATGTCAATGTCGCCGGTTGCAACAGATGCAAAGAGTCTGTACGATGCCACTCACTCCATCACGGCTGGCATGAAACTGTCTGAACGCAGAACAGCAATCGAGATCGCCATCATCAAGCAAAGGCTTCAGGCGGTCCTCGGAGAACTGTTTTGGGTAAACTCCCATCAGCAGCTGGCTGATGGTCTCACGAAAAGTGCAGCTCGTGATGCGATGGCTGTGACTTTGGCTCGAGGAACTCACAAGCTTTCCTACGACCCCAGCTTCATTGCAGCAAAGAAGGTGACACAACAAGAACGAGAAAAAGAACAACTAGAGCATGAATCATGGGCCCGCTTGCTGCAGGAAGAACAAAGCTACTTTGCCGACCTTGGCGATGGACCTGGAAGAGTTTGTCTCCTACCGGGATGTGAAAAGAAGTGCGACCCGGCTGACGCCAAAAACAAGTTTTGCTGTAGACGTCACTTTTACAAGCATGCATCCATGAAGAAAGTTGGCGATCCATGGCGCACGGCCGCAATCGTTGCTGTGAGCAAGTTGATGGTCGAGGACCTTCCCAAGGCCAGCGCTGAAGAGCTTGTGAAAAGTGATTTTAGCAATAGCTGGAGCGTGATTCTCTCAATGCTGGTGATTTTTCTGTTTGCACTTTTTGGATTCGAAGAGCTGCTTCGAAAAGTGTTTTCGATGGTGGTGCAACGGTTTCGGAAAGAAGAAGAAACCCCGCTTGAAGAGAAACTCCTGCAAGAACCGCTTGTAGATCCCAGCCATGTCGCCGCTGAGAATGTCCAGACCCTACAGAATGAGCAGGTTGTAAGGAATGTCTTGCAGCTGCCCAACGAAAGATTCGAAAGCGAGAGCGAGCAATCTGAAGGCGATGAAATTCCTCAAGAGGAGTGGTCCCGCTGGAGCAGGTTGAAAATGGAGGTACAGAATGAGGCCTCTCAACGGAAATGGCGCCAGTTCTGTCAAGAGCTGGAGTTGAGCTCGAGCGGAATGGATCGAAGCACCAGAGCGATCCTGAGCGAAGAAAGTGTGACAAGCACAAGATGGAAGAAGTTCACTTCCATCTTTCTGGTGTCCACCACCACCGGTTTTGAAGACGAACAAATCCGACAATGGCACCGGATGTGGAATGACAATTTGATGTTCCTCGGAAGTGTCAACAAAAGACTCCAACAAGAAAGGGCAAAACTGCTGGACATGGAAGACTCCGAGAAAGTCCGTGAGAAGTACCAGAATGGTTTGCTGACGGATCGTTCTTCGCAAACGCCAATCTCTTATGACTACCATGCTACTTGTCTGCGAGCTCGTCAGTTGCCAGCAGCTCAGCATGGGGCATGGTTGCAAGCCAACGAACTCGGCTTGCGATCGTAAAGAAGGGCCGCTTTTGAATGTTTTTCCTCAAGGGCAAGAAAGATTGCCCGTGTTGATTTGCGAATGCATATCATGTGGAGTTGAAGTCATTTTCCTTCGGCCGACGTCAATCGGAGTTGTCAGTTTGCGAATAGTGCAGTCACTCCGTCGTTGAGGGCCCTTGAGCATATCGGCGCGACACCGCCTAGAAAAGGCGCTTTTTCCCCGGACGCGATTCGACCTCGCGGTTTGATACTCGTTGAAGACTTCGTGAGCTTTGACATCAAGTTGAGATTATTGGCATTCTTACTACTAGGAACAATTGTCTTCATGTTTGAGATGACCCTGTTACTGTATATCATTCTATTCTATTGAATCCTTGTCCACACATGTCCACACTAGACTAGGGCCTCACTGCCTCACTAGGGGCCCACCATGCATCTGTGCTTTGTTTGGGATGTATTTGTGAGACCGAACCAAGAAGAAGGCTTTCTCGCACTGAGGTGGCGTTGGATGTGCACTCTTGCTGCGCTCCGGACGCTGGACACTCAGGATTCAGATGGACATAGGATGACAAGGACAATAGGTGAAAGCTCTCTAACTTGGTTTGAGCATGTTTGAGCCATGCTTGGTCCTTGCTGTTCTTTAGTAAATAGAGTGTCTGGTCAGTTTTTTTTGTCAGCATTTCACTGCTTTTAAATATTAGAGGCGAGCTATTGTGCTTGCGTGGCCTTTCTTGCTTACCCGCCATTTTGTGGGCCCTCTTTGCTTCATCCTTTCCGGCTTCATCATTTTCTGGCCGGGTCGCTCAGGTGGGGGAAGAGCGAGGGTAGTTAGCTTTATGCTGCAAGCGGCGTCATGCAAAACTTCCAATCAAACCAAGCCTGTTTCGCCTGTGAATGTGTTGCTCAAGTCTAGGCTCAAATCAACATCAGGGACCTTGCCACCCAATTCCCACGAGTTTTGCCAATGCCAATGTCTTGCTTTATGATCCTCCTGCTCGCCATTTATTGTGCTTCCTCGCATCGGGTCGCTGATCAAGATTGGAATGCTTTGCAACATCAGCTACCCCAAAAAGGAGACAAATGCGATGATAAATCTCCCTCAGCCTGTGCTGACGGCTTGAAGTGCAGCCCAAGTAGCAAGACTTGCAAGGTTGCGATCATGCAGCCGTGCAATAGGACATGGAAAGATGCTTGGGGAAAGTCAGAGTGTGCTGGTAAGGACATCTACGATCGTGACATTATGTGCAGCGAGCCCGATTCAGTTGGACGCTCTTTCTGCTGTATCAAAGGTAAGAAACCTATGATCTCACCCCACAAGCAACAGACGCGCGCGGTGCTCCATCTTTTTCAGAATGGCAAAGACTGCTGCAGTGGGGAGTCTAAAATCTTTATCAAAGACAAGCGAGAATATAGTTGGGAGAAGAAAGGCTATACGGGCAAACTGAAGGCGACAACTCTTTGCCTGTAGCTCCAGAGCATCTGCTAGAGCTCGGCCAGACGTTTTGCATTGAGAGACAAAGAAGCAGCCTCGTCTTGTCACTTTGATGTTCATGCGAGCATGATCAGTTTATTCATCGATTGCCATGGGGTATCCAAGACCATAAGAACGACAGCCTTTGCCGTGGATACAATCCTGACACAAACACAGCTGCAGCTGAACTTCATCCTTTGTTCCACTAATCCTCTCCTTGCCAAGGTTCAGAAGACATCATTGAAAAGAAGTTCGTGAAGGGCAATTGTCCGTTTTATCAAAGAAAGTTCGATCACATGACACTTCAGTAGCGGTCTGAAGAACTTGACGTCTGGCAAAGCTTCAAGCACGATTTGCTCAAACTGAGCCCCAATATAGATTTGTACAAGTGTAACACATCCTACGACCAGACAACTACCACCAGACAACATAGTCGAAACCCCTCTTTGCCATCCTCTTAGGCGAAAGTGCATCAGCCAGAGATGGTGAAAAGTGGGAGGCTGCTCACCGTCAAAGCCATCGGCTGTTGCCGTACTGAAAGTGCTCGATGTGCGGAGATGCTGGGCTCCCTTGCCACTTGCGGAGATGACTCTCTCTTCGATGACTGATGCCTCCGAATGCCTCCCTCCCTTTCTCTCCATAAGGCCCTAAGACCCCAAACTCGGAGTCTCGCACACAGGTGCTACAAGCCAAGCGCTTGGATACAGGGTCAGTGCTGCGCTTTGCTTTTTTCCTCCTTTTTACGGCCTTGGAATACGTGCATTTGCAGCTTTGGTCCATTGTTCTGCCCGGTTTGAAAGAGCTTTCAATTGGCGATATGGACTTCATGGCCCTGAAGCCAAGGCAAAGTGGCTCAAGCATGCTCACACACTTTTGAGGCGGCGGTCAATTGCAGCGTGGCAAATACACTAGCACCACGATGTGACACAAGGTCCTTGATACTTGATCCTCAGCATACGGTCACACGGTAGTACAGATGAGCTAGAAAGTGACAGTTTGGGAGTCCCTGCATAGTTTTCTAGACTGGCAGGCGGTGTCGGAATGGGTTTGCTGGAGTTTCCTCTTTTAGGACTTCCTTCGACCCTTGGTCGCCCTAGTGCTAGGCGGAAGACCTGCCCCATTGAAATTCGCTTCTTGCCGAGCAGCCTGGCGCCGCCAGTGATCAAGGCTGAACATGTAGAGTCGACAAAGGTCATGATGAAACAAAGGATTTGTGGGTAATTGATATTGTTCTCACTTCAGACGCCATGTGGGAACGGCCTCCAAGGCAGAACTACTGTACAATGCAGCAACAAAAATAAAGCATCTTCAGTGTCGTCAAGGACTCCCCAATGACCAGAGCAAGCCTCGACCTGAATATTGACCAAAAAGCAACTATGCTCGGGAGTCCTTCTCCATGAACACGAAACGAAGCAAAGCGGAAAAATATCCTATGCGGCTATGCGCGACATGTGCTTTCAAAGAGCAGCACTGAACTCTAGTAAGTTTATGCAGTCGAGGGTTTCACATACATGCCTGAAAAGTATCGATGGAACGTGAGTGCAGAGTGAAAACAACATTACAACAGGCAACGTGGCGGTACCATTCATTCAGGATCCAGCTCTACTAGGGTGTGGTGTTTTTTGGCCTGGCCATGGTCAAGACACCCCCATTTGCGTTTGCTTGATTTGTGTATGTGTGTGTGTGTGTGTCAACACCTGTCTCCAAGGTTTTGCGTTTCATGTCTCATTTGCGACAGGGGGCCACCGGGGTCCCAGAGGAGCGGTGGCCAACCAAGACCTCCTCTGGGACCCGTGCAAACGTACCTGCAGAACTAGCTACCTGTTGTTCTCGCTGTGGTTTGCTTTCATGGTGGTTCATGTATGGAAGCACGGTAAAGGGCTACTGCGTTTGTTAAACACTTCTTCTCTCCGACCCAGCATTCATTCCGTTCGGCTAGGTATTCAGTAACTAAAGTGCTAGGTAGTCAGTAACTAATTTCTGGAACTTCGTCAACTGATACTAGCTCTTGCGAGCAACCATCCAAGTGTGTGTCGCCACAGAGTCCCACTGAGGGCTGTGGTGTGATCCCCATCGAGGGGCGCAGCATGTGCATAGACCCAGATCCTGGGGGACCTACCCTGATTGCTTCGTCTCTGCTCTGGGACTTCACTGTGCAACCTCCTTGATCGACTGCGTTGCATGATACCACTGATCAAATGCCGCAAGGCTTACTGAGATCAATCTCCAGTTTGGATGTCCGCATGCTGCTAAGTATTCACATGTCCACGTCATGCTGCTAAGTATTCACAGGCCAGGTTCATGGATAGGTCGCTCCGGCTGAGTAATCGAGGCGGGCTGCATGTATAGATCACTAGTGCCACTCACACCGTTTGACGTGGCTCTCACCAGGACGCCATGAGCTCAGCCTCCCTCACACCCCACCCAGTAAGCCCCTCCAGCCCACCCCGCACCTCCACTTACCAATCCCGCCAATTTATCCATATCCCCTCCTCAAGAGCCCTCTCAAGCAGCACAAACTCATGCCACCAGATCCACCCCAGAATCCCCCTCAACGGAGTTCACCGCAGCTCCGTCTACGAGCCTCCCAACTCCTGGTTCGACGGCTTCTTCGACTTTGACTCCGTCGCCTTCTTCTCAGCAGGCGGTTGCGGCGGACACTTTGTCTAGTGATGCTGAACCCCACGTCAGTCTGACGTCTGGCGGTCGTCGGCAACACTTGGCAAAGGTAGTCGACCGAGCCCCTGACCCGACCATTTCGAGAACTTCGACTTGCTCAAAGTCGAGCAAGCAAGTATGTAGGAAACCATCCTTGATGGACGACCTGGATGGAAATGACCCCGTGCTTCAAGCCACGGCCAAACGGCTTCGACCTCTCGCTGAAGGAGAAGACCCTCAACAGCTGGCTAGAGACATGGGTTGGCAGACCGAAGACAAAGAAAAGACATGACCTTCACCTTTGTCATCGAGTGCTTCAAAAGCCGTTGCGAGTATTCCCATTTTCCCCACCTCCTTTGTTCCCCGGTCCCTCTCTCCGTCCTTTTCCACCCCTCTTCGTGAGCGCCGATTACGGCTTGGTGTGTGTGTGTCAACACCTGTCTCCAAGGTTTTGCGTTTCATGTCTCATTTGCGAGCAGGGGGCCACCGGGGTCCCAGAGGAGCGGTGGCCAACGAAGACCCCCTCTGGGACTCGTGCAACCGTACCTGCAGAACTAGTTACCTGTTGTTCTCGCTGTGGTTTGCTTTCATGGTGGTTCATGTATGGAAGCATGGTAAAGGGCTACTGCGTTTGTTAAACAGTTCTTCTCTCCGACCCAGCATTCATTCCGTTCGGCTAGGTATTCAGTAACTAAAGTGCTAGGTAGTCAGTAACTAATTTCTGAAACTTCGTCAACTGATACTAGCTCTTGCGAGCAACCATCCAAGTGTGTTGTGTTCGAGAGATAGTCTTTGCATTTGAGACACAGTGCACAATGTACTTGATGTAATGTTGAGAGGTGACTCTTTACTCCCTCAGAGACGTGCTTTGTGCTGGAAGCTCAGGTCGACTGTCTAATTCCTGGCTTGATTTTGCTTCATTGCTCAACTCTTGCTGTTACACCCAGACGAAGGCATAAGAGCGATTATTCCATTTACGGAATGCTTGGGGAGCACTGCCAGTGACTGCCACATACTGTCAGACTGCACTCCTTTTGCTGCCTTACCAAATGCCCCTCCCCAGGCTCTTCCTGTTGGGACTCTAGGCGAGTGTGGCACAGAAAGCTTAGAGATGAAACATGCGCAGTATCGTGTTGGTGCAGACTTCCTTTTTTCTCGCAAAAGGCTTATGAATCATGAGAAGCGTTTTCTTAAGCAGCAACTGCCAAAGGTGGAGGAACCGGTGGCGAAGCATCCGCACGGCTTGGCCAAAACCAAAGCTGCAGGCTTAACAAAAATGGTGAAATTGGAAACTCGCTCGGTGGGAGATCACGATTTGAACATGGTGAAGTCAGTAGCGAGGTTTTAGTCCATGAAACGGTGGTCTTGAAAAATGACGTATTGGCATCCGGTTCCTGAGCAGAAGTGCAAACTTGGAAACCCAGTACGACTCTGCCATTTGGCCAGGTTGCGGCCAGCCACTGAAGACAATTCCTTTCGCCTGCGGGCCGGGAATCCTGAGCTGCTTTTGGCTTTGGTTCCAGTCATAGTAGCAAATAGCTACTAGTAGCGTCCTTGGTCCTAGTAGTAAGGCCAGGAGCCCCTAGTAGCGTCCTTGCTCCTAGTAGCGATGCCCTTTGTTCCTAGTAGCTTCTTGTTCCTGCATCATGGACTTGTTGACCCACGCTCCGTACAAAGACAGTGCTACCAATTTGCCTTGCTCACTCAGTATTTGGTTGGCAAGGTCTATCGCCCCGGGCTTTTGCTTGATGCAGTGCTGCACGATGGGGTGCAGGCCGGAAAGATCAGTCCCTTGCCATTGAGTCTACATTCCTAAGATGCAGCTTTCCCTAGCCTCCTTCTGGCTTAAACATTGCCTCCCAAGTACGTGACAACAGCATCGCCACTGATTACAAGCATTAACATTGTCTATATATCCATACATAGTGAAGTTATTAAACAATGCGCATCACTACATGTGCGACACGCACCTTCTCCATCCGACTGCACACCTGGCGTTTGAAGTGTCCAACTCTACAAAAAGACTCAGATCTGACAAGCTTCCAAAGGCCACGATTGCCGATCGAATCTTTCAAGCGCTTCAATAGATCACTCAAATGGCATTGTGCAGGGCATATCGTGCTCTTTGCATACTAGAGATGCTGGACAATTGCGAAGGTACAGCGAGGAGATCGCTTAGTGGTAATGGTTTCGGAGGTGGGCGAGGCTTGTCACGATCGTGGATTGGGCCATTTCGAGTGGGTGTTTTTAGCTGTGGTAGCTTCTTGCTACTTTTGGCGATGCCCTTTGTTACTAGTAGCTTGGAGCATTGGCTTCTTTCAGAGAATAAACGACCTTCGTCCGCCACGCCACGAGGCCAAAGTCTACAATGAGAAGCCGCGCCGGAGGCCGGATCACTCCAGTCAGGATGCCGCCAAATGGCCAACAAAAAACAAGCAGATTCTAGTGGAGGATCTGTGTTTAAGAAGTATATATGAGTGCAAGCGTGCAAGCAGCAACCTTTCACTAGCTTCTCTGCGACCACCATTGGTTGGTCTGTCTCGGCCTTCGCCAACCTGTTTGGAGACACGTTGGGAGACCGGGAAGGGAGCCGCGTGTGATGCATCCTGCGGGCGCAGGCCGCCAGACAATGAGACTCAGGAGACCCAGGCCGTGGGTTTTGAAACAACAACACGGGAGAGGTGCTACTACAAAGTAACTCATCTTGGCAGAATCTGGTGTGGACTTCTGAAAAAGATTGAAAAAGACTGCGATGTCCGGTTTCGCAACCATCGCTGGGAAATCGACGTGGCCTGCTAGGTGACACTAACAGACTCACAGGGTCAGTGCGCGCCTGTGTCAGGGGCTCGAGGGTGAGGAGGGTATCAATGTGACCATAGCACAGCCTTTGTCATCTTGTGACACAACTGATGCAGCAGACAGACTCTTGGTTGTAATCTTAATCGATCCTAATCTTTTGGACACGTCTCAACAGCGCCCAACGTTTGGACGAGCGCAACATGGCCATCCTCGAACCGCCTGCAGTGAAGTGCAAACGGTCGGACGTTCCACGATTGGACCTGTTTGGGTTCTTCGATGTAGCGATGAATGTAACGATTTTGCGCTTCACAGAGATGCGAATTGCCCCTGTGGACTTCGAAGGTCAGAGAAAGGCTATGTGACGGAGGGCCTTCTGGATGCTGATGCGTCACTGAAGACTGCCTGACCTTCCAATACTACTGAAAGGAGCTGTCGGAACACTACTCAGAACCAGAGAGTACAACACATGTTCGCTCAAAAGCCTCCAGCAAGCACTCATAGTAGCAGCATGTAGCAGCATAAGCAGTGGCTTGGCATCTATTCTGCACATGCACCTCTTTTCTTATCTTTTCTTGAGAGCTGTGCTCAATTGCTTTGCCATTGCTTTTCTTAAGCTAGATGTTTCAAGGGTTTGTCCCATTGAACATATTTCTTGATCCGGCTGACGGCGTGTCCTCAAGCTGTGAAAAGATGGCAGAACCAGAGTCAGCGAGCCGTCTGAGTTCGGCTGTGGCTTCCACAACGTTGATATTCCAGCCAGGTGCCGTGCAGCCTTGCAGCTGGCGCAGCGAAAGAACAGCTGGGCAGCCCAAGACCGTGCTGAAAAGGAATGTGTTGATCATGATGGCTGGCTTCAGAAAAGGCGAGCTTTCAAGGTACATGAGCACAGACAGACGTGCTTTGTGTACAGTAGAGCTACTCAGTAGCAGGCCCAATTGAATAATAGATACAGTAGGCATTATATATATATAATAGGGCTGAGGCATTTTTGACGTTCATTTCCACCACCAGAGCCTGTGGCTCATTGATAAGCAGTTGGCAGAACAAATGAATTGCGGCAAGCACTGCAGTGCCATGCCAGGAGCCATAGTCCAGAGTGCTTGTCAAATTCATCCTCGATCCTGATACCTCAAAAATCGAAGTTGATGACCCCTTGAAGGAACTTAGACTTTGAGTGATGAGAAGGATGAGAACGGGGCAGAAATGGTCAGTATCTAAAGTTCTGAACCAATCACACCGTAAGTGGACATGCGGTGTTTGCTTGACTTGCCAGAGGGATCCCTTGATTTGTTGGACCAGGCTTCTCGTCCGCTTTGGACTTTGCCGAAGAGTCTTTAGCTTGGTTAGTGACGGTAAGTGTGTGTAGTTGTGCAGTTTCTAATTTTGTGATTTAGATGCAAAGCCCTTATATAGATGCAAAGTCCTTGTCCGCTGCTTCTTCTTGGTCCTGCATATTGTATCAAGGGTTGTTCTAACTCGGACGTTGATAAACAAATCCAGAGAGATGAAAGCACTAAGTGCTTTTCTTGTCAAGAGCCGTGCGATCATTCAGCGTTCTTTACGAGGTCTCGCTTTGATTTGGCCGAGGCATGAAGGGGTGGACTGACAACCGAGAGAAACAAGAGAGACATCGGGCTAAGACCTTGAGACCGCAAAAGAACCCGCATTTCGGTGGGTCGTTTGTGCTTTGCAGCTTGGCCACTGTTGTGAGATGTGTACGAATGGTAGCTTATGCATGCATACGCATGTTGGGTCGGTAGGTTTCAAGGTGTTTCAAGCTTGTTCGGTCTGAGTCAGAGCTCGTGGATGTCACTTGAGCAGCGTTCTAAATTAACCCTTTCTTTTTTAGTCAGGGACTGGCGAAAAATCAGTGAGAACAGTGATTTTAGCTGATGTTTGTAAGGTGTCCGTAAGGTTTGCCGTAAGGATGTGCAGATTTGAACAGTGCCGTAAGGCTACCGGAAGCGGAATTTGTTCACTGAACTTTCATGACAGCTGGGCCCAAATATATTTGAAGAAGCTTGCGTTCTGACAGAGCTGAAACCATGGAAATGGAAGAGTACAAGCAGGATACCATACAGTTTGCATTAAAACAAATCATATGGAAAGAACATGGTATCTTGCAACAACATAAAACATGTGACCACAGTGGACTTGCATACCTCTGCCGTAAGCACAACGTAAGACTAGCCATGCATACATGACATGTGTCGCCGTAAGCAAAACATAGAGAAACGTAAGCCTTGCGTAAGGCCTACCGTAAGGTTTGATTTCTCGGCAAGAAAAGACAACACAATTTTGAACACCGCTCACTTGCCATTGTCGCGATTGTCGAAGGAGCTACACGAGCCAGGGTTGCAGGCCAGTCCTGCACGAGCCGTGCCGGTCGTGCCGTTGATTTGATCTCTTGGGGCGAAAGAGAGTTTGCAGCTTCAAAAAGACCACAGCAGCCGCTATATGTGTGGACCATCGGCTTCATAGCTTTAGTGTACAAGCAATGAAGGTGAACACATTTAGCAAAAAGAGGCCAAGAGACGTCACCATTTTGGGTCTGTACGATCGCACAACGATTGGCAGTTGAGGCACATACTGTTGCAGCAATCAACGCCGCCATGAAGGTGAGGGATGGTGAAGGCATTGACAATAACAAGAAGCTACTAGTAACAAGGACATGACTGCTAGTAACAAGAAGCTACTAGTAGCGATGCCCTTGTCCAGTAGCAGTGTCCACAATGTCGGAGCATCCTGATGCCGCAGCATGGAGTCTGTTTGAGGACGAGGCGACGCACTCATCCCAGAGTAGCACTTGGCAATTGAAAGATGCCAGACTATACCCAGGGGTGTTTATAGGCTGCAAGTGCTTGAGGCGGTGAACGAATTATGTTTTCAGTGCATGTTATATGATGGCACCACATTGACATCCTATGCCCGCAAAATCGCTGATCGCTAAGCCTGTTTTAGCGCATCAATACCCCATGTCGAACACTCTAGGACCTTTTGGCATGGTTGACTGAGTCCAATCCTGGCGTTAAGTGATGCAGCACCGATTGAGGATGACCATGCCTGCATTTTCATGGCCTTGGAAAGCACCCTTTTGTCCTCGATACTATTGACTGCATCTGAAACAATCATGCTGCTCCGGCTGCAGCTGCCGGCTGTGTGCCGCTTTTTCTGGCACCAACAGCTGAAGAGATCATGTTTATTCATTGTTTTTTGCTTTAGGTTTTATTAATTTTTTGTGTCTTTCGTTAGACATATGACCCGCTTCACATGTCCAGTTTGCATGTTTTGCTATAGGCTTCGCTCGTCTCAGGCACGTGATGTCGGAGGAGCCCCTATGCTGGCGCCATCTCACGCTAACTGCATCACAGCTTCCCTGTGCTTTCGTCACCGATGAGGTGGTTTGTCGCTTGGCCCGTCTCCATGGTCCCAAGTTGTTGCAGGTCTCCGTGGACGGAGCACGCCTACTGGGCCCATCTTCAGTCTCAACGATCGCTTACAACAGCCCTCAGTTGCAAGGATTTTCAGCAGTTGGATGTCAGGGAATCAGCTTTGCATCCATACGCTTCCTGTGCAAATCCTGTCCTGTCTTGGAGATCCTGAGAGTGGCAGGCTGTGGCTGCGAGGTGGGGCAGAGGCTTTAGCTTGTAACAAGGACTGCGACAAACGTATGAACATTCCATATAGTAATAGGTGAACACAATTGCAGCTCAAGATACAAGTCCAGTCACTGTACATATCGAGAGAATATAGACATAGCAATGTACCACATACGCAAAGACGCATGCGCCTGGGTTCCACTGTGCATTTGTTTGATCAGGCGGATGTCCTTGGCAAGACCGGCGCAGACATGCTAGCGCAGACGCTGGCTGAGAAGTGTCCTCGCATACGGCAGGTTGCACTTTCCAACCTGAGGCCCTGATTTTTAGAGCCTGGCATCGCAGCTTACAGAACACTAACTTAATGCCGTAATGCCTTTTCCTCGGAGCTGAAGTGTCTACATTGCGCAAGACGGAGACATTTGCGTGAACATGTGTTGACGGCCGACCAGGCAAGAGGAGAGTTTGGCAGCACTTCTCAAGTCTACTGACTTGGAGACTCTTGATCTCTTTGATTGCCAGCAGCTCTCTTGCAGCGAAGCCACCTTTGACTTAAGGGCACAGCGGTTGCAATCCCTGAAGTGACTCAGATGAATCAGAGAAAGGAAACACGATGTCTCAAACAACATGCTTAGCATGGGTGTTGTTCTGGCAAAAGTTAGCTCCCAAATTCTTAAATGCACTTTTTGCACCAATTATCATGGTCGTGGTCATGGTTTTGTACTCCCGAAGTCCATACGTTGTAAGGTTAGCAGGATGTACGAAGCTGACATCTTTGAATGGTTGCTTCAGTGCTTTGCAAACGCTCTACTTGGGTGGTTGCGTTCGCTTTGCAGATGCTGACTCCTTGGGTTGCATATTGAAATCATGCAGCAAGACCTTGACTTTCTTGAGTTTGGTGGACTGTCACAGTCTTTCAACGATTGGCTTGAAGGCTGCCTTTCAGCAAGGCGGACAATGTAGCCTTCAGACTTTGGTGTTGGGAGGTTGCAGAGTTGATGATGCACTTTGCCAATTGCTTGGATCTCTTTGCCCCGCATTGTCTTCTCTTGACTTGTGGAACTGCCCTCATGTCACAAATATCGGCGTCTCTGCAATTATTCAATCCGAAGCTTCTCTGAAAGAATTGAACTTGCGAGAGTGTTTGAAAGTCCAAGGAGCAGTGCTCCTGGAATTCTGCAGATCCACCTCGCAACTGCGAACCTTAGATATTTCCTTTCTTGGCGTGGTCAATGATGAGCATTTATTGCCACTACTCCAAGAACATTCTGAGAGCTTGTCTTGCTTGAACTGTGGTGGGCCCCGCTGCTTCATCACTGAGAGGCTCCTGTCATCCTTACCTCCAAGGCTGGAGGCGCTGGACCTGGCGGATTGCAAGCTCTTACGCGACTGGCGATGAACTCAAGATTTTTCTCAACTCCTTTGGGCGTTGCTTTACGACACGACATCATGATACATCTTCTATTCAAATATATATATATATATATAATCCTTCAAACGGGTTTCTCCTTGACAAAACTCTTCACGAACAAGGAAACAAATCCTTAAACTTCGTGCGGCTTGAAACAATCATTCCAGGCGACATTGAAGACCTCACCAAGCTCCAGAGTCTTGCAGCACTCAGCCTAGAGGGTTCGGTCGCCCCAATGGGCCAGGTTTTGGAGATTTGTCGTCGTTGTCCCATCACATCCCTGAACTTATCACGCTGTGCAGTGGGAGATGAGACCGCCAAAGAAATTGCCTGCTTATTGCCGAAACTGATCGAGCTGGAACTGAGTGGCACCCTGCTGAGTGATGTTGGTTTTAGAGCTATCACTCAGCAATGCCGCCGTTTGGTTCAACTGGGTCTTCGCAGCTGCGCCATCAGCAAAGCTGCTGTGGATGACGCGAAGAAAACGTTGCCCGCATGTGTTGTGGATTGGGATGAAACCTGAGCAGCGCTGAAAGCTAGAGTGACTGAACGCAAAAAAAGCCGCCTTGCATGGTGGGGCGACTGATCAGGTTCGGTGGGCGTACCCCTGGCCTCGACTTGATGTTGCGGGTGGGAGGTGAGTTCATGAGACGCACGGGTTGTGTGTGCATGCTCAAACTTAATCAATTCTAATTCTTGTTTCTAATAGTACGGCCAGGAGCCCCTAGTAGCAAACATTGCTCCTAGTAGCGATGTCAGGAGCCCCTAGTAGCGTCCATCGGTGCTTAGGATGGCTACCTCTCGTCCTTTGAAGATTTGGTTCTCTCTTAATGGTCTTCATTCACCGAACAATGCACCGAAATAGCTTCTTTGTCAGAGAATCTCAACATCAAAGGCTAGTTGATGAAATGAGTTCCCCTTAAGATCCCTTAAAATTTATTCTTGGGAGGTGACAATGGGAAACCACACAGCAAGAAGAGCCCGATCAGAATATGTCCAGCGAAGATTTCAATCAAGTTCTGCACCTCAACGCCTTTCCTTCGATTCAACGCCTCGCTGCACTGTCCAACGACCTCAACCATTTCAGCTCCTTGAGTCGTTTTGCCGAAACGACCTTCTCAGCGCCCGACCTAGGCTAGGCGACCACCTCGGTCTTTCCTGCGATTTCCTTCGGATCCGAACGATCCTCGGGTTCTGGCCCTTCGGCCGTCCCCTCCGTCCCCTCCCAGGCGCTGGGCTCCGAGGCCGCGAGCGCTCCGCGGCTCCGCGGGGCGACGACGGGGGGTGCAGCGGGTTTAGGACGGGAGACGAGGCGACCCAGCGAATCCAGGCGCAGGACATGTGCTTCGAATGCCAGGGGGTCGCCAGGTAGGTAACGAACTGAGACGATTGATGAAAGTGAGGGGGCCAGTCCAAGTCGTGTAATGATGTGAGCACTTCTTTCACAAGGTTGTAGTCCAGTGTAGTGACACTTTGGAGACCACCGGACTGAAGAATAGCTTTCAAGGCAAGCTACGGCTTCGCAGGTGGCCTGCCAGACCTCAGCGCGGGCTGTGCATTCAGCGGATGTACAGGTGTGGGGAATATTCAAAATCATTGCAGCATTCCAAAGGAATTTCCCTGAACTGTCGGATTCATCATGATCTTTGCAACGACAATTACTATTACTATATACCTTTTCAGATCTGTAAGTCTCCTTTGGAGCTGCATTTTTGTCGGAAGCCTTCTTTATCTGAAGGTCCAAAGCTGTGTGCTTACCGCCGCTGCGGAAGTGCAGGCTGGAAACATAGGCTGTATAAGCATATAAAGCCGAGTTGAGACTTTTGACACTCTGCCAACTGACCTTGCTGATCTTTGCCAATCGCTTGTAAAGAATGCAGATGGCCCTGTCAAAGACTGGAAGGGAAGCAAGCAGCACAGCCCCGCCAAGGCCTCCAACCAGGTTTGTCATGCGACTGCCCAAACTGAAGTGGAGGCAAGGATTCGGTTGCGCACAGTGTGGTCAAAACCGCAGTGTTCCCCCGCTGCATGAAGGACGCCATCCACAAGAGAGCGAGGGAAGGTTCTTGCCATTGTCCTCGTTTGTCCCATGGGTCCAGAGGTGCCAGCTTTGCCTCACATGAAGGAGCGGATCCGGAGTTTGGGCTGGAGATCCAATTCTGAGACAATTTGATCAATTTGGAGGTGTCCAGGCAGAATGCTTGCAGAGTGCGACTGACTGGTAGGCCCATTCCAGAACCTCAAAACTGGAAAACTGAAAGGGCTTGAACTAAGGACACCCCGTCCCTGCATGAGTGCAGACTGAAGTCTCAGCTCATTCGAGGAAGAATTGGAGTTGCCGGTCTTGCATGAAGCGGCTGTACAGGTGGGCTTTGGACAGGGGCGCAAGCGCTTCAAGAGGAAGTAGGAAAGGTCAATGGAGACATATGGAGAGCATGTGAGTGGATAGAAGAGATTGTCTCTAATGATAGTGAAGCCTGCGTGTGTTTTGTTGCTGAATCTGATCGACACAACTGTGCGAGAGAGGCACCCCGTGCCCACATTTGTAGATAGCTGTAGTATCATTCCAAGAGACCCTGAACATCCCTGAACGACATTATCAAAGAAGAAATACCTCATGCACGAAGCCCAGCCAGGCCAGCCTTATCAATCCTTATCCTATGTTTTAGATGCCTTTTGTATACTCCCTGCAAGGCATCTCCTAGCTGCGAGGAATGTGCTGTGCAGATCAGCGAGGAGCGGATAAAAACACGTCTGGAGCTTCCCGTGACCATCGTGACAATCGTCCATCAGTGAAGCCCAATATCGGATGGACATGTTGAGACCAATCAGCGGACTTTCGCTGTGCACTCTGTTGGAGTCTGCAGAACCAATTGGGCATCCGATTTCGAAGCAGTCTCCCCCGACCCTCGGCAGGCGATGCAAACTTGCGCTGTGCAGACAGAGGCCGTGAACGAAGCGACAGAGCCACCACCCTGTGCTTCTTCTGTGCTGCCTTGGCCTTCAAGATGCGGATCCTTCCTCTCAGACGGTCTCTGGGTGCTACCGAAAGAAATTGCTCCCAAAGAAGAACTCCAGTTCCTTTTTTTGCAGGTGATCGTGCTAGAGTGCGCTTCACAGACGGAGGCGATCGTTCTGAGAGCACTTTGACAACGCTATCGTTTTCAGTGAACGCGATTCCACGGCCTGGAACAGTTGCATTTTTTTCAACACCCTTTCTATCAGAGATGGCAGGTGATACCGGGGCAAGAATGTGCGTCGCAGACGGAGACACAGGCCTGATTTTTCTGCAGTCAGACTCTGGAGACGATCGGCGATCATGTTTCAGATGACAGATGGTCAAGTGAAGGTTTCCACCATGAAGACTGAAGATAGTCAAGTTGTGAAGCGGTAGTTTTGACGGCAACCATGGCATCAGAATCGGAACTACCAGGTCTTGTCACGAGATTGTGAAGCACAGACGGAGGCACAGGCAGAGGCGCATCTTGCTGTGAATGCAAAGAACCACAGCGCAGGCAGAGGTAAAGAGCAGCAATGCTGTGATGTCATTGACGATGCTAGTACTTTTCAGGTTGACACTGTTTCAACCGAGATGCAGACTGTGGCAGAGGCGGGCTGCTGCATGGAATTATGCCAAGTCTTCAAGTGGGGAAACACTGTGTGAATGGTCGCACGAATGGGTCTCCACTTATATAGTTAGCTTATGTACTCTTAAGAGAATTGGTGTCTTCATGTGTTTTGCCTCCGGGCGCGTGGACTCCTTTTCGCAGGATCTAGAGGTGCGGAGCATGCTGCGCACCAGCTCGACACAGACGGAGCGTCCAATGGAGCGTTCAGAGTCTTCTCGCCCAGCGTATCCAACGAGCGATTCGGGTCCTGCGTTACAGGAGTCGCAAGTATAACTACGACGTTCAGGATGTGCCAGGCCACCGGGATGGTTCAAGATGTTCAAGCAAGATGGTACCTTCGGCTTCGACAAAACATATGGTGGAAGGTAAAAAGTACCAACCATGTCGGCTCATTTTGGGATGGGGGTGCATACAGCTTGGCCGGAACACAGTTCAAAACGATGCTGGTTGCTTGTGCTGGAAATGTCATAGTCATAGTGTTACACTGTTACACTAGAGGCTTTGACTCACTAACATGGAAGTGGAAAATGGGTCCCAGGAAGATCACTTTCCTCTACCAAACAAGGAGTTTTCCACTTCCATGTTAGTGAGCCCAAGTTTACGAGTCCTGATTCATACTTGGTGAGATCACAAATGCCTCCGACTCGGACCTTCAGCAGATTGACATGCCTAGTGCTTTGTTCCTCAATGCCTTGTCCCAAGGTGCTCCGTGCAGGCCACAGTTGCCAGCGCTTGCAGCTCTGTATCTGGGCAAAGACTTGCATAGTTCTTGCCAGTATTTGCAGACTTCAGGGTGCATTGAGCAATATGTAAGTGCATGGAGGATTGCAATACTCCTTGTCAAAACCTGGGAGTCCAAGACTGCGAAGTGTTGCTAAAGTGGCCGGTTTGGATGTGGCTCAACAGCATCCTGAATATTTCAGAGTGACATCCACGAATCCACGACATTCAACGACCCTTAGCGTCTTCTAATGTGTAAAACTTCCGTTTGGTGTCGACACCTTGTCGGTTTTCGCACCGCACGAACCGTCCCGCGGTACAGGTGAGCGCTGCAAGGAGTTCAGTGGCAACGCAGGTGGTGAGCTGAACACTTGCTCGGAAGAAAACCACGTCTTTGCTCCAGCAAGTGTGGGATTCCACCCATCATCCTTAGATGCCGAAAGAGGATGGACATGTCATTTCTGACTGTGCACAGTCTAAAGGTGATTGCGTGTTTACTTCGAGTTCACTTCTACATCGCCCCTTGCCATCACAGGTAGAGCGGAAAGTGAGAGATGAAAGCATCCAAGTGGAGGACAGGATGTAGCAAATAGCATGCAAGTAGCGGCATTCCATTTCTTGACACGAAAAATGGCGAGACCGATCAGTCGCCCAGTTCAGCTGACTCGATCGGGTTGCCTGAGGACTCCACAGCTGCTGAGGTGGTTCAGCGGCTCAAAGATTTGGAGGCGAATCTCATGAGATGAACAGTGCCCAGCGAACTCCGGCAGAACTTGGGACTCCAACGCGCTTGACACGGTGTAAGAGTAACAGATGCTACTTACAGGTTTGAAGAAGCTGCCAAGAAGCTTGCACCAGTCATAAAATATTCTACTACTGTAATTAGAGCATTCCCTTGACAAGAGCCGTCGGACAAACTGTTTTTGACATCTGACTTCACTGGAGAAAAGTCTTTTGATTATACTGATATTGTTACTGATACCCATATATATATATATATACAGATGGAATCACACACACACTAAAAGAAATGCGTACTGATTTGAGAGCGGTTGCCACACGCCAGCCTAAGTGAAAAACCTAAGGGTCCAGGTAAAAACACCACAAGAATCCTGCAAAACCTTCAAGCTCAAACTCAAAGGCAAAAAGCAACTGCATGACTGCCGAGTGCATAACCGATGCAGTGGCTGGAAGTCTTGTTCTAGGTACAACGGCGCCCAAAAGGAAATGAGTGGTGATCATCTTCTCGCAGGTACGTGCAATCTGCGTCCAGATTGCATATCACAACAAACTTGAAGTGTCTCCGTTGAGCGGTGACTTCAAGAATGCCCACGGCCCACCGCTCCCCTGCTATAAATGCAACCAAAGCAAAACTTGACACACACACACACACACGCCTCCCCGAGGGGAGGCGAAAAATGCTAAGGCCAGGACGGATGTGCATGTGTGCCCGCAGCAAAGACAAAAGAATGACAAGGGGACGGGACGGGACAAAGGTATATGTGGTTGTGATGAAAGGGAACCAAGTGCACAGGGACAAGCAATGAAATCCCACCTCATTGTAAAGACCTGGGCGACCTAAAACCTGTGTTTAAAGTAAATGTAGTTGTGCACGTACACGCTAAGGCCGGGACCAATGTGCGCACAAACCAAAGAAAGGATGAGATGAAAAAACATGAAGACAGGAGGACATGAACGAAAAGATGAAAACAGATGTGTGTGAAGGGGAAAAGGATGAAAAGGGGAAACAAATGGAGGGACGAGAGCCGATGAAGCCAAACCTCATTAGAAACACCTGGGCAGACCTCGTTTACATGTAGATGCTGTATGTGCACCTAAGAGTGGGACAGGTTCCAATGAACCTAGAAAATGCTTTGACCGCTCTGGTCACCTTGTGCCATGCCAAAATGGCGGGCGACTTGAGACCACTGTGGTCACCTAAAGGCATACCAAAAAGGCGGCCAGCTTGGAATTCAATGATCCATCAGGTCTTGGCAAATAACTTTGGCATAAACCTCCTGCTGTCCGCTTCGGACACCTACGTTCTCAGGCAGGGGGAACAACGACAAACCCCCGGTTCGACGGGTTTAAAGGGGGCACTCTGCGGGCTCACCCTGGGCTCGCACTAAGGAGAGACTCACTTATAGAAATGCGTGCTGATTTGAAAGCGGTTGCCACACGCCAGCCTAAGTGAACAGCCTAAGGGCCCAGGTAAAAACACCACAAGAATCCTGCAAAGCCTTCAAGCTCAAACTCAAAGGCAAAAAGCAACTGCATGACTGCCGAGTGCGTAACCGATGCAGTGGCTGGAAGTCTTGTTCTAGGTACAACGGGGCCCAAAAGGAAATGAGTGGTGATCATCTTCTCGCAGGTACGTGCAATCTGCGTCCAGATTGCATATCACAACAAACTTGAAGTGTCTTCGTTGAGCGGTGACTTCAAGAATGCCCACGGCCCACCGCTCCCCTGCTATAAATGCAACCAAAGCAAAACTTGAGAGCAATCCAAAAGGATCCCTGTGACTCCAAGATGTACACACACACACCCTCGCAATGTCAGAGTCAGAGTAAATTATTCGATCAAGCGTACATGACTTGCAACATCAACGGATGCATGGATTCGATATTTATCATATATAACCTTAATGATTGTAGCATCCGGTTTTATAGTCAGGATCCCCATCACTATCAAACACGGACAAGAACCGCATTTGTGCAAGAAATTTCTTGGTTAAGGGACCGCGGGCCTGATCTGGAAGCGACAGGCTTCTACTGCCAGCGAAGCTGCTGTAAGAGCCAAAGAGCTCGAGGCCGACATCAGTGAACAAATTGCATGACATAGCATGTGTTCGCTTCCAGATGTTCAAGACAAAAGCACCATATAGCACGATCATAGAAAAGAATGCAACCAAACAATTCTAGGCCTGGCAAGAGATGGCGACATCAAAGGCAATGAACCGCTTGAATGTCCGGTGCTCGGAGTGCCCAAAGTCCACCTTTCAACGGGGGCCCTGCTGGTCTAAGTACTAAAGCCAAGAACCCCTAGTAGCGTCCTTGTTACTAGTAGCGATGCCAGGAGCCCGTAGTAGCGTCCTTGTTCCTAGTAGCGATGCCCTTTGCTCCTAGTAGTTTCTTGCTCCTACGACTTCGAGAAATTTCTTCTCGACTGAGGTAACGATCCTTTGCCCTCGCGCAGAATGCACAGTGAATGGGTCGAAGGCCAGAGTGGGGGTAGTGGGATAGTTGAAAGGGAATTGAAACGTCCCGGTTTTTCATATCTTTCATGCAACGGCATGTTTTTAGAGACAACAGCTGGTTTACAAAGAGTCGTCAAACAGTGTGCAGGTGTAAAGGAGAAGGGCACTGGAATCGGGGCGAATGCGGCGAACTGCTTTCAGCAGTTCTTCGGGATGAATCTGCGTCAGATCCTTTCACCCAACAGAATCACATTGTCAGGTAGAGATGGATAGCTGGAACTCGGCGCGGCTTCGGGAGGACTTTGAGGTTCAGGCTGGACTGGCGATAAAAGATGGGCGAATGGATGCTCAAGGGTTGAGTTGTGATTGAAATTTACTCTTATGCATTTGTTCCCCCTGCATGTTATTTGGCCTGGCCGTTGCCTGTTGTGGATTATCCCACTCTGTCTCCGAGTCTAATTTCCGCTCTTCGGAGCAGCCTCAGGTCTTGCCCCGCTTTATGAGAATCATCATGGGCGAGGGTGAAGCCACGCGTGGTGCCTGGTGAAGCATTTTGTTTTTCATTTTGTTCTTTTGGGAATGAAGCCACCAGAAAAGGAGCAATTAGGGTAGACCATGGTGGCCATGCTATGCTGTGCTACATCCTGCTGAGCCCTTCAAATCACACAGTGAAATGGTTGGGCTTTTGACTTGACTTTTTAAGTTTGCAATTTTGTTAAATGTGACATACTGATTTCGGGATGCTCCTTAAACATGCAAAAAGGGGAATCCAAGAATTGGTGTTCAGGGGCGAAGCAATCACGTCTTCAGAGTGGCGCGAAAGTGCGCACGTGGGACCTTTTTGTTCTCTCCTCCCTGTGAACCTGGGATGGTTTTCTGAAGCATTTTGGACCAAGATGGGAGCAGATTTAGAGGTCAGCATTTGGAAGCACTACAAACTACAAAGGCCAAATCGCTACAGTTCCTGTGTTTGGGCAAGCCTTCACTTTGCTGGAGCCCACACCTTTTGCACATCATGGGGACCCATGTTTTTCCTCTCTAGTACTGCTAGGTTTGTACTATTTGGCCTATCCCTGGTCCTTTCTGCAGCCATGGCTCTTCCTGGCATGCTGCCGGATCCTCGAGAGATTGCTGAGTGGCCTGGGGCTGTCACTTGGACCAAGACTCATATGCTTCGAGCGGGGCTGGCTAGATTGTGATTTCACCTGGGTGCTGTGAGGGTAGCAGCTACGTGTATCTAGATGCGAACAGGGCTTTCCTTTTTTGTAGCCACAATGCAAGGCTGCTTTCATCTCATCCTTTTTGATGCTCTCCACTCAATGCGCCTTGTCTCTCTAGCCTCCTCTGTAGCTCTGAACTACTGCTTTGTGCAAGCTAGAAGCTGGAGAAAGCTGACGGATGCTGGTGACCTGGCAACCATTTGTTGCTCACAGCTACGGCTGTCAACTGCAGGTGAGCAGCAAATTCAGAGACAAGTTCACGGGGCTTCCACTTTGTCGGAAGAAGGTGAGCTGTCACGCCGCAGCCGGCGATGCCACGAGCCTGGCTCGGAGACTTGGACTGGACTGGTGTGGGAGATCCCAATCGATCCAGTGTTGCAAAACAGAAGCTGAGAGGACAATTTGTTTCCATGATTTTGATTGTGTACAAATAAATAATCAATGTTTGTTTTGCCGGGTATTTCTGCCGTTTTAGACCGTCTGAGCCCATCCAGGAATGGCTTCGGCAAGTTCTTCAACGACAGGGAAGGTCTTGCGATTTGCCAAGGCACTCCTTTGCGAATGCTGCGGCTGAAATGTTCAGATTCGTGTGAAGATTGCCATGATATGTCCGTATCACTTATCACATCTTATCGATCTTTCCTGTCCAAAAAGGCCGGCGATTTATCCCTGATGGTTATGGCGAGACTTATCAGTGGCGGCCCTGCAAAAGACAGCTGTCAGAACCGGGCATTCTACACATCGACTCTTTGATGATTTCAGTGCTTTGCAACAAACCCTTTTGGTCAGCATGATGGTGTGGTACTTAGAGTTGAGAGTGTAAGTGTAATCACGAATGAGATGTGCTTGGTGTGATACGTCATTCATGACATATCCTAAGGAGAAGCGGGAAGGAAAGGCCAATGTGGAAGCACCCCCCACCCGTGTCTTCAACATCCCGGACGCTGGTGCAGCATTATGAACCACTTCGTTGGTAATGCTATTGAAGAGCCTACCGGAATTAGAATGCCAACTTTAAGTGCGCGCAGGACAAATGAATCAAATGACGTCCAAGACAATGAGCAAATCTCGGTTGAACTCCCTGAACGCTTTTCGCTGTCGTGTTTTCGTCCGCCACTCACGGATGCTCCTGCACCAGCTGCTGGGTGTCCGAGGAGCGGCGTCATGTCCGACAGGTGGAATCCAAACAGGAGAAGCGGGGAGAGCAAAGCTTTTGTTCCGGTAGGATATCAAGCACTGTGGCCAGATCTGTTGACAGGAGTATGGTGATCTCCCAGTAGCCAAAGGCAGGGCTGGAAAGAATGGTGGGAGAGCCATGTGGGAGAGCCAGAGATGTTGAGGGGTGGCGACACCAGGCACTGTTCTGCGAGAGAACGGTATACGGGCTGCTGAACAACCAGCCAGAGAGGTTGATCTCACGGTGGAGATGCAGCGCAAGGTGGGGCATCGAATGGTCAGAAGAATCACTTGCATGGTTCGATGCTCATTCGAACCACCGCTGGTGCTCATTGCTCCTAGGCACGGAATCAAGAGCTGGACGTTAAGCGAAATGGCATAGGCGAAAGGGTGATGTGTTGACACTTTTGCGTGCAAAGAGTCTTTGGGTAAGGTCTGGTTCCCGCTGTGGTGAACGGAGACACATTTTGCAGGAAGTTCTCCACTCCTGAGATAGCATGATGTGAAGCCTTGGCAGATTCTGTCTTTAGCCAGCAAATGCCTTTGTCTTTGACGAACAGTAGAATCTTTGAAGCGCAGGCTGCCGATCTCTGGGAGACAAGAACTACCGCCATCCGGAGTACATGTCTCGCTTCTTTCACTCTGGAGAAATGGTAGTGTCTTGGAACCAACATGAGATGTTTGACATGTTTGACCAGATTTGACGTGGGTGCATGACTCATCCCTTCTCCTTTTTCCAGGTTGGCAGCAGCTTTCACCGTGGCATGCATGCGAAGACGGAGCCGCGGAATAGCAACACTGTACACATCGAGATGGATCACAGGCCTGGGAAAAAACTGCAACAAGTGCATGGTGACCTGCGTGCCCCATGCGCAGGGATGCAGGTAACATCTTGAGAATTGTCGGTGACAAAGAGTGGTTAATATTGCACCCTTTCTCTTAGCACTACTTTGTCCTACCTTTGCCTATATTATATGTATAGCTCCTGGAGCTGTAAGCAAGTCAAGTAGACAGCTCAGCAAAGTGCTTGTTCTTGATTCTTGCTTGTTGTTCAAGTTCCTGGTAACAGATAAATTCCAAGTCCATATCATCGGAACATGACTGGTGAATACTGGTGATAGCCTAGCATTGGATGGGGTAAATGATCAATAATGCCAATTCAGGCCACCAGCCAAGACCTATATGCAGAAGCAAAGGGAGAAGGCTTTGCAGGTCCGCGACATGGAGACATGGCTGACCTTTTCGCTGATGGACTCACCCTTCACCGCCAACGGAATCACACCAAAACTTGGAGACCGAAGGACCCAGGTGAACTGAATCAACGATCACCTGCCATCAAAATCGCTGAGTGACCCAGCACAGGCTGAGCACCAACAGCTATGCTGCTTATTTTTTGCTTCAAGCTATATATACTAATTAAATCTAAGCAATCAGCTTAACAGTACATACTGAGTTGCAGCCAGGAAGCGGAAGCAGAAGTTGAAGATCTCACCTTACGATGGGAAGCTGACACTCTCAAGGAATGCAGCAATTAGCATTTGTTTTGCGGGACAAAACTGATCAAAACTGGAGTGACGTGAGGATCGCAGAGCCTGAGTATTGCGTCGACAAATCCCCTTGCGTTTGCAGGAGTGCGACGAAGGCTATCTTGAGCCCTCTGATTCAGAGGAGGAACCCGAAGCTGCAGCAGCATGATCAGCAATAGGTGGCTGGAATGTAAATATGGCATAATATGGCCTGGTAGTGGAGGATAGCCCTACGTGACAAGATAATCATATGTTTGTGGCCAAAACAACATGGTTTGGAGATGTTCAGACGTGTTATCTTCAGACTTCGATTTGTTGACCTTCTTGCTGCAACGATTTGGGTTTAGCACTTCTTGGTGATTTTTTAGGAAGTTGATTCAGTATCATCTTTGTTTTGCACTTGCTTGGAGCCGTGGTGTCGTTTGGCTAAGCATTTCCAGCAGTATTGTTGCCGCTGCTATCCATCGGAGGCCGTTTGCCTGCTGATCGAGGCGGCTTGGCGGCTTGGCCGATACCAAAAGCCCTTTTACGGTGCCGAAGAGGCGCCTCTTTCGCGAGGATGAAAAAGACTGAACAAATATGCTGAGAAATAATGTTCAGGCGACTTGAGATCTGAAGAGCAGGGTCCATCAAGTCTCGCCAAAGTTTCATTTGAGTGGCAAACAGTTCTGGTGCCCTCTGACATAGCATCCTGGTGAGTCTGTGAAGCTGACAATCACCAAGTAGTGGTAGGTTCTGAATTTCAATTCGGTGTTTTTTCACGAAACTGCCATTTGAGCACGTTTCGTGTCATAGCGATGGAAAAGTAGTGAGCTTGCTGCAACGAAACGAACGCTTGAGGCCATGCTGTGGTCAGTGGCCGCGATTACATGGGTGCAGGTCAGCTCACCCTTTACTCTTATGACACGATGGGAATTACTGTAGATGGAATTTGTACATCCTTTTTATTGCCCCTTATTTCAATGAAGTTCTTGGAAGGTAGTTTTACAAGGGAGGGTTTCTAGTTGTCCACTTTGAATCAACAACGATTCTATACACGTCCTAAAAGACGATTCTCGGTTCCAAGGTCGCCAACAGAGCTGGTGCAAAGCATGATGGAGGCAAGGGCTTGTGTAAGTCTGTGCCACTCAGGTCTATGAAGTGTGCAGCCACTGAGTTTTCCAGCTTTGAAGAGCATGGACACCTAGAACATCAGCTGGGTTTCCAGATCCTTTTGTTCCAGTCTCCCTCTTCTCACCATTGCTGCAGTACTTCAATCTGCGACCATCGGTTCCACGTGGCTGTTTGTGTTCCGTTCCAACACTGGATAGGAGCTTGGAAGCATTTTCAAGGAACGCTTAGCAGTGGCTTGTCAGCATGCCAAATGCTTGCCGCAAAACATGACGTGCCTAAAGCAGGGGATAGTCAGTTATAGGTCAGTTCGGCCTCGAAATCTCATTTTTTGGTGATTTTCCTTTGCCAACAGAGATGAGTGATTCTAAAATGCCACAGTTTGGGTTAGAGTCTCTCATGGGTTCCTCCAAGGCTCTTCTATCTGCGCCCAACGCAGCTGCCGCCATGGCTGCGGCCAGAGGGCGCACCGAAACTTCGCCAACGTGAGGCACTCCTTGGCTGACCTTCGTTCGGCATAGCTTTGTACATCTTTCCGCGTCCGCGCTCTCCAGCAACATATCTGGAAAATTCATATCAAAAAGGGTTTGTTGCTTAGCAGGGACCCGGAAGCTAGACGTGGAGCCACACTTGGCCTTTAACGACGATACAAAGGTGGAATAATTCTAGCAGGATGCACGACTGAGGTCAGCCATGACATGTGCAGAATTCGAATCTGAGACGAGTACCTGTCATTTCGATGGTTGCTTGTATTTGACGACAGAATGTCCATTTTCACTCCGGTTTTCGGAATGACCCAAGCTTTTGTACTTCAGGCAAAGCTTACGGACAAAAAGGTGCACGCTGGAAAACTTCTGGGTGGAGCACACCTTTTGAGAAGTCGAGTGCCGCGTTGCCTCCTGTGGCATCCTGCTCGCACCGGTGCGTGCAATTGCCAGGGCTTGGGCCACCCGACATTCCCGATGTGGTCATTGCAGCCCTGCCTTTTTTGCTTTTTTGGCAAACGGCTGCTTCAACTCCCTTGCGTCCCTTCTTGGGCCATTCAGGCCGGCTTGGTAGTTAGCGCCGTCTTCGCGAGAGAGCAGCCGTGCACGCCCCGGTTCCTTTGCGTGCTTGGCGTAGACGTCAAACATAAAAGCAGAAACTTGCCTCGCAAATGCTGTGAGGTCCCACAAGTGATAGTCCAAAAGCCGCTTCCACATGACGGCTGTCGGGTCATTGATAGCTTGCAGGGTCAGTGATAGCTTGCAAGCAGCTCCATGGTCCACATGGAGGAATGATGGCATTTACATTGGGGCCACGATCACACCGCTGACTTGAGATTCAGATCGGTGCCACGCAACAAACCTACCGACTTTATATAACTTAAAATCAGTCCATGTTTTGTTTTTGTGGGGCATAGTAGGACATTGAATTCCCGAACGCCTCCAAAAACACCTTGCAGAGCGTGATGCACGCCTCGCTTCAGCCGCTGGTTGCAGGGCGTCTTTGGAAAGCGGGGTTCCCTTTAGTTGGCGAAGCGTTGTCACACATAAGCCGAAGTGGCCCCACAGACCCCAGATGGCATACACCGTACGCGTTGCCAACCATTTGGGGTTGCCAACCCATGCTGTGCGGCTGGGCTGACGGGCTGCACGGACGCGGATCTCCGTACAGACACCTTCCATTTGTGGGTGCGCGATACCATTGGGCAGCTGGTGCAGTTGGGGCGACCAGCCAGGCACGCACCTCATCATACTCAAGCTTGGGCTTCTTGCCTCGGATCATGAGATCTCCAAGGCGGCAAATCTCACAACTGTGGGTTTCACAGTTGATACACGTACCATACCCAACAAATTCACACGGTTTTACTTAGTAAAGGGTAGTCATACGTGCCCTTTGACTGAACCTCTCAGTGCAGGCGTCGTATCTCATCACCAAAGCGAAACCAATCAGCTGCTCGTTCCACATGGACATGTTTGCCGAGGCGTTGTCGAATGGCGATTTCTCTTTCAATCCAAGCCGGCCCAGCTACACTACAATCATCAGACTATCATGCGCCAGAGGACACAGTTAAGCGACAGGCATCAAGACTCAAGACCAAACGTGACGTGTGAGTAACCCCTGCAGCCCGCCGTGAGTCCTGTGTTCGCGACATGCAGCTGGGGGTGCCGTTGAGGCAGCTGCTCAACTCAAAGCGGTCAAGTCATCACTGGCGGCGTTTTCTTAGCAGCCTGTGCTGGTCTTTGCTTTGGTTTTTAAGACAAATCGCCTCCCGAGACCGTCCATACCTGCCGCAGTCGCGACAGTGAGACCAATGGCCATCACAAGCGACGTTTGTTTGCTCACTCCCAGCTGTTCGTCCATTCTTGCGATAGCCTGGAGCTTGGCGAATGGCCCGAAGTCGTGCTTGCCCCTGCTCTACCCTCCCTAACGCTCCGGCACCTTCTTCGCGTCCTTGGGACAACACTTCTTCTCGTTGGTGGTTGGAAGCTTGCGGAGTGTCAAGGTGTAGTAGTGGCAACAGAGGACGATCGGAAACAGAACACCGCGGCCCGTCTGGCGACGGTTTCCTCGCAAGAAGGGACCCATCCATGCGTCGGCTGCTGCCTGTCATCAAGCTTGAATGACTCGAGGGGAGCAGCCGACGCACCAACTGGAGGAATTCACCTTGCGCTCTTTCACCTCTTTGCCCCCGACAGCTCCTGCACCGTGAAAGACTGGAGGGTGATGACGCACTGCACCATCCGCGGAGACCTCAGACATGGTCAACTTCCGAGTGACCTCCCTCAGCAGTGATCCACAATGATACACAATATGCACAGACCGCTTCCACTCCTCTTGTATAACTCGGTCCGCAAACCTGAAAAAACCCGGGTGAGCCGGGTCACGTCTTCGTTCTGCTTCATGTTCACTGGCATTCAGGCGGTCGTGTTCCCACGGACCTGCCTGGCAAACCCTCACATCTTAAAGATTGGTTCAACGGTCCGGTGGCATCGGCCACACGGTTTGGTGGCGTCCAGTCTCCATTGAACCTGGACCTGGCGGTGAAGGCGGGGAAAGCGGCAGCTGCTCACTGGCTACCGGCTCACCCCTCTCCCAAGACGCAGGCGCCTGCCATGGTGTCGTCCATGAGCTTGTGGTGCATTCCATGACCATGATGAAGACCAATCATGCTTCTTCCATGTTGACCATTGTTGCCAAGATGGGTGAGAAGACCGCCAATCCTGCTCAGCCCAACTGCAATCCCATGTCCTTTCAACCCTTCTCGATCCTGACCAGCGTCACCACAAACGCTGGGTTTCAGCAAGATCACTTTTACATTGAACGCAATGGATTGACTGGAGGGAACTCACGTGTCCCTTGACTATTTGAGGGCGCCAACAAGCCTGCCGTGAAGATCAGAGGATCTGGTTTGCTCTTGTGAGACTTCCGGTTGTGTTTGGAACCGACAGACGAACCTGTGCAGTTCGGGCTTGGATGGCCTGGTCATTTCTGTTGTGAGTACAATGCAGTAGGCGGACTAGCTTGAGTGGCACCAGCGTTCAAATTCAACTAGGCCCCACTTGCACTTGGGATCGGGGTTGCTACGTCCAGTTTGCAAATCAGTTTGTGGAATGGTTGGTGCAATCACTTCATCGGGGTAATGTCCCCGGAGACCAGAAACAGTGCAACGGGAAACAATGGCCGTCCCCTAGAACAGCTGTCTTGCAAAGTTGCATTTCAAGATCCAACGAGTCCAACGAGACCTGTCTTGATTAGCTTGCGCCCATTTATGCAAACAGGTCATGTTCCGACATAGAATCCAACGCTGCGGGCAGTTATGCACGTACAGAAACCACGCCTTGCCCGTGTAGTCTGGCCCGTGGTGCGACAGCTGCTTGAAACAATGGGAAATTTTGCGTACACCCAAAGCCGGTACAGTCGATCCCTTTCATCGTTTTGGTTTAGTCATATATATAATCATAGTTGTTGGCAATTCGCCGGCTCATGTTTGACGCTCAAACGCTCTCACTTGCACAGGTGAAACCGTGCCAAGAGAGGACTGACCAAACGCAGACCTCTGACTTGCTTCCAGCTGAACGACAACAACGGATCAAGGATCAGAAGACCCGACTCGCAGGGCTTGATTTGATCAGTTGGAGTGCCACCACCAGTCCTTGATTCAAACAGACGTGACGTGCCCAATTTACTTGGAATTCCGGAGGTTCACCACTCGGGCGTCCGAGTTGGCTCGAGAGAAACCTTCCAAGACCTTGGTGTATGAGCAGTCGACATTGCAGATGCACCATTCAGAATGAATTCCAGTTGTCCCAGCCTTGACCCGTCGCGCTTTGGCTTGTCATCCATGCCCGATGACCAGGCGTAGCCGCCCGCTGCGTCCACGAGGATTGAATTGCCAGGGGGAAGCATCCAGAGCCCCGTCCTTCTGGGCAGCTGAGGCCGCCGGCGCCACTCGCCCCATGTTTCCTGCCCTGCTGTGCTTGCAGTCCGGTCCCCAAGCCGGCGCTTTGCTCTCAGCCATCGCAAGCAAGCTGGGGCTCACACTTAACCCCGCTACACTTCTATGTGGCCCTCCGACGTCGCCTGCGCCTCCCGTTGGCCTTAGGCCCGGTGCGCTGCGTTGGCCCGGCGCAGGCGGGTTGTGGCCGCCTCGTCCACGGTTAGGGGGATCATGGGGCTGTGTGCCCCCGATCGGGCCTCCTGGCCCGCCGGGCGCCGATCCTCGAACAGGTCTGGGTGCGGGTCAGCTGGGAGCCTTTGCGAAGCTCTGTGCTGCGACGTGACCCTGGTCTCGCCCCTCCGCGCGGATGGTGCGCCGTGTCCTCCAAGTGGCACAACACCGCAAGGACCGCAACCCAGCGCCTCCTCGTGCTGGCTTGCGGGAGTGGGGCCACTGGGGCAGCCTTCGTTCGGGCCCGCTGGCAGGGGAGGTGGTGGGGTATGCTCAGTTGCGGCCTGAGGCCGCGCCGGCGAGCCTTCTGGCCTGTCCTCCTCATGGTCTTCTATTGCCTTCTTGTTGTCTTTCTTCAGGTGTTCATTGGCTGCGGCTGCCAACCTATCTCCGGTCTCTGTTGTTCTCCTGTTGCGGTTCTTGCGTGCTTTGTCTGGTCACAGCCTGTCCTTCTTCGGTCCTTTTGGGCCCTTGGTGTGTTCAGATTGCTTTCCTTCCCTGTTTGCTTTGTCCTGTGTTGTCGTCCTCGTGTCCTTCTTTGATCTTTTTGTTGTCCTGCTGGCGTGAACTCCTTCAACTCCAATGTTGGTAGTACGTACTAAGTCAAGTTGGGAAGAAACTGTACTGTATTCTTACAACCCGCAGCTCGGGGAGGCCGCTGCTGGGTTCCTCAAAGGACAAACTTTGGCAGGCAGCGGTGCCGGGGCTCAGGCTGGTGGCTGGCGCGGTTTCTTCTTGGGTGGGGTCGCCGGGCAATGTTCTTTGGCGCTTCCTTTCGCTTTGCTGGGGACTTGCGCGTTGGCTCCACTGGCGTCTCGCCTGCAGTAGGGCAGGG